ACAGGACAATTTGCTTTAACTTGTTGTAAAGAAATTCTATGTAAATTTCATAGCAAAGTCTTGCTCATGGAGGCATATATTTAGAATCGAGTGTAGGGGAGAAATACTCCTATTGAATTATAAAAAACCCGTATCCGCATCCCGCATTACGTATAAATCTGTGATAATTTTACATGAGTTTTTTTCGTAAACAACATGCGTAATTTATTTAAAATTTTTTTCAAAATATATTTTTTTATTTACAAAATCTCCATATTATAAATAACTTCTATTTTTAAGTATTTATTATACTTTATATTACAAAGTATTTATACTTAGGAGATTTTTTTATATTAAAAAAAAATACAAAAAACTTTTTTTGTCTATTTTTTCATATAATCATATTTTTGAATTATTTGTTTAGTTTTTTATTTTACTTTTTGAAAGAGATTATTTTTTGGTTAGGAAAACGTTTTTGTTTATTTGTTGTATGCATCTTTAATTTTTAGATAAAAAATTGTAGAGCATAGATTAAATATTCTGAATAACATATCATTTGTAGTTATTTTTGTGCGCAGCTAGTTGATTATATCATTTTTAAAAGGGGGCCTACTTTAGGGGGCCACTCTCCCCAAAATTTAACACAACACGTTTTTAAAAAAACTGAAAAAAATTAGGTGGCTTAGTAAACAGGCTATTTAAAAATAATCGCTGCTTGCTTTATTCATTACATAGTATGTAAATTTTTACGGATAAAAAAGATACTAAACTTTTTTTCTAAAATTTTATCGCGCACTAATTTCGCTGCAGACCTGCTGGATTGTCTACGCTTTGTAAATGAAAACACTTGGTTGCTTAAGTTAAAGATTTTAAAATGCTTTTTTATTCACTATGATCAAAGCTGTTACTTTTAAAAAATAACTAAGGTATGAATGAATGCTTAAGAAGCTATACTAAAGAGCGTGATTTGGGATTTGTTTTTACATCTAACCACACGTGGAGCACACATATTCATTCACAGATTTCTTAAAAATTTTGGTATGTTAAAGAAGGCATTCATTTTCATTGATGGAAATATGGCTAGTTAAATAAAGTGTTTGTAAAACTGCACCTTGAATATGCAGTGTCTGTTTGGGCTTCTTATTTAAAAACAAATATAGCCTTTGTTGAATCTGTTTAACGCAAAATGAGCTTCCAGCGTGAGACAATTTTATACTGGGTAAGATTAAAAAGTTAAATTTACCATCACATGTCTTGAGTCTTAGCACTTACGATGCGATCCAATCCAAATTTATAATCTAATACATTGTTTTGATATAGTTGATAATATGTATCTACAAAAATCTTTGCCCCATGGTCACCTTTATAAAATAAGGCGTCAGAACAAACTACTTGGACCTAAAAGTCCACTAGACCTTTTTTTCAAAAAGGACTAGGCTCCTGGTTGGATTAAAAATTTAGAGCAAATTTTTATAAAACTTGTTGTTTTTAGAGGGGTCGCTTAATTTACCTACTACTCATTGTATGTAAATATTTATGACTACACTTATAGTAATAACAACAACTAGATGCATTGCAATGTAGATTAATCTAACTATGTGCAGGCCCTACGAGAGGGTAGCCACATGGGTCATATGGCCTAGGCCTTCGATTATGTTGGGGCCTCACATTTTCAAAATATATTTTTTAAACATCAAAATAATAATTCGAAATTTCTAATTACACTAAGAAAAGTAACGTCCCAGGCCTCCATAAGAAATGTATTATTAGTAGACAAGCAAATTTCTCGGCTTGTTGGCTTGCTAAAATAAACAAAAAAGACCTTGTATATGAGTGACAGTCTGTCTTTAATTGCTTTAGTTGACAATCTGTTTTTATTGTAATAGTTACAGACTTATATGGTCCCAATTTATCTGAAGACTCGAATTAGCTTTGCATCAACTTGTGTTGCATTTTACGCAAAATGTCATCTTGGGGCCTCCAATTTATAACTGACCCAGGCCTCTCTAAACCTCTGAAAGGGCCTGCCTATGTTTTTTATTTTAGGTGCCTCAAGAAATCCTTAGAGTCTTATTACAGAGCATTGCGGAGGAGCATTTTACAGGAAGTTATCCCAACCACTGTCACAAAACTTCCCCAGAGGTCGCTTTGAAACGCAGAATTCTTTCTTCTTAGGCAAGCGTGTTAGCACTACGCCGCGAAAATTGCCCTGGGCGCAAAGACTTAAAATGGCGTTGAAAAAAACATAAATAACTAACATATTTTTTTAATTCAATTGGTGAATTTGCTTTCTCCCAATTTTGGCGCCTGGGGCTACGGTCCAGTAATTAGAATAGAATTGAACTAGTTATGTTAAATTTATTTATTTTTCATGTCATTTAATGTTTTTAAAACGATTTGCGGCTATGAAAATAGCCGTTTTTTAAAATTGATAGGATTGTATCATTGACATTGGAAAGTATCACTGATATCTGCATCTTTGATTGAAATATGGACACACTCACAATGATACCACTGTGGACATTTTGTGCATTGCACCCAATAGTTCTTCTCAAAGGATGTTTTTGCAAATCTGTAATAATATAATGTAAAAAGGTTATTCCTGTATTCACTTCAACAACATCTATTACTCTATCTCAAATTTCATAGACTTTTTCATATATTTTTTATATTTCCTAATTTCTAAATGTAACAACGGTATATATTTGTTTTTCGCCAACCGAATCGCATTTAATTCATTGTCGTCGAACAAAATAATAAAGGATAAGAACAAAAATATTTCCTAAAACGTTCAAAACCACTTTCAAGGTTCTTTAAACACCTACCGCATAAAGTCTCGTAAATATATTTACGAAATTGTATTTCATTAAATGGATCATTAATATTTTTTTCTGAAAACACAATTTTAAATGAATTTATATAAATACAGAAAATAAAAAATCGTGTTATGAATCATAACACGGTTTTTTTATACATCATAAGTTATGATGCATTTTTGAATAGTCGCAAATTATAAGTAATGCAAGCAATTAACAATTATAATTTACTGGACAATGACAGCATTAAATAATTTTATGCAATAAATGAAATAGTTAATAAATAAATGAATTTATATATGAATTAATTATAAGCAACATAACAAAAAAGTAGTTGCAAAATTGACAACTAAAAAAATACTAACATATGAATATATATTATACAATATATTATTGAAAAATAGGGATACCTTCACAAAGATGTAATGCATAATAGCATACGTAAACACCGCAGTTGTAACTATCCTTCTGTAAACAATGACTTGGGGCTGAAATAACAGTTGGGTTTAAAATGTTAAATTTTAGTCTAAAAAGGTCTTTAGCAACAGCAATGGATTTATTATGTGATGAATTATTTGGCATAATAATGCAATGGAGTGGATCAAGTAGAGTTACTTCTTTCGTTATAACTTTTAGATGTATTAAAATCCAATGAGAATTAGTTGGGTTAAAATGAATAAAAACTTGTTCTATAACTTTAGTATCAACATCTTTCCATAAAAGCCTTAAACTTCTTGAACAGCTGAAAGCTAATGCTTCAGTTGGACCTAAATATTTAATTAAAGGGTACCTTTTTTCTAAGCAATGCAGAAAACCTCCTATTACTTCATCTTGAAGCCAGCCTTTTTGAAAACTTGGAGTGCTTTTTTTTAAATTAAACAAAACGTCAGATGGTATAATGTTTTCTAATGTTAAAAGGGAAATAAAAGATAGTTGGTGAGCGCCATGCCTAAATACATACATTCATATATATATATATATATATATATATATATATATATATATATATAATATATATACATATAAATATAAATATATAAATATAAATATATATTTATATATATATACATATATATATATATATATATATATATATATATATATATATATATATATATATATATATATATATATATATATATATATATATATATATATATATATATATATATATATATATATATATATATATATATATGTGTGTGTGTGTGTGTGTGTTAGTATATATATATATATATATATATATACAAACACACACATATATGCAAATAATTTATATTTTACACACAAATATAACTAATATACTGAATGAAATATAGTTTATTTTCTTATTTACTCTGTAATATATTATCCATTACATCCAATTAACTTGAATAAACCAACTTGTTTAAAAGCTAAAATATTTGGAAATAAATTGATTAGTAACAAATATTTGAATATGTATTTAAGAAAGCTTACGTAATGAGAGTGTTAGTGAAATTACTTGGTTCAATGTTATCGTATACTCTTGTATTTTGCTTATCATGAATTAGATCAACATGTTGCTGAGACAATTTCAGAACTATCTCCTCTTTTTGGTTTTGTGCAGGATATTGATATGATTTTATTTCCTTTTTCCTATTTCCTTTTCTTGTTCTCTTAAATTTATTAGGCTGCCATTGATTATCTAACTTCTTATTTGGTTCAAAATTTAAAAGGTTATTGTGTGATGTTGGCTCTGTAGGTATCTCAATTAAATTAATATTTTTGATGGCTTCAGCTTGTCTAATCATGTCTTCCAGTTGTCTGTTTATTGAAGGAAGTTGCAAATTTATTATCATGAGATGAGAAAATAATGTAGATAGTTCATCAATATTTTTTTGAAACCTTTCAGACTCATTAATAAATGTTTGAGATTTTTGCTTCACTTGATTATTACCTGTACCAACAGCTAAAGATTCTTTTGGGTAGTTTTTTTCTTGAGATCTTAGAAGAAATGATTGTAACTTATGAACATGCTTGTAAAGGATTACAATGTCATTACAACTACACCTATATAAATGCTCACTCAAACCATTACAGGCTGGATTTATACATGATTCCAAACACAAACTTTCCTTACAAGCTTCAGTTAGAATGTCAACATTGTATGTTACATCTTTTGATTGACTTTTAACTGTGTACTGAGTTAATGAACATTTACTAATACATTTATCAAAATCAACATTCCTTTCTCATGTCTTTTTTTATACTTTTTTGGGAGAGATATTGTTCCAAGATAAATAACTTTTGTGGTGCCACTAATTATTTTCTTCGATTGTTAAAAGTAAATTAATTAAATCAACTAACCTTTTATTAGGTCGTCTTTCCATATAAACTGTTTTTAATTTGTTATGAAATAATTCACATAACATATTAGTATCAGTGTCTGCATGTTGAAAGTTGCGATAACAGGAAGTCCATTTTAGATGTAGTGGAGTTTAGTATGTAACAAAGTAACTAATGAAGTTAGGACATTTATGTTCATATGCCTTTACAAAACCATTCATAGTTGATAAAAAAACATCAGGGTTTTTTTCGTCAATGATTGTCTCTAAGATCCTATAAACTTCTTCTTGTAAATTAGTTGGACCAACTAAAGGAAGTTTATTGCGCCATGCACTTTTTTTATGCCATTTGCATAGCAAGTGGCGCACATCTCCAAAAACATTAGTAAAAGCATTCCATCCTGACAAATCATCATTTGTCATAACAGCATTAACTTTTACAGAATTATTGCATCTTCTTTTTATTTCCTCTAAAAATGGTGTTATGGTTTGTTCATCTGCATGATTGGAAATAAGAAAAGCTACTGGATAACCCCTTTTAAATTCATCTCGAACTAGTAAAGTTACAAGAGGGAATGCATACTGATTGGTACAATGTGTAGCATCAATACAAACAATTTGAGATGAATGTGTTTCAAACATTGATAGTTGATGCTTTGTTTGTATACCAACCACAAAGAAATCCTTATTAAGGTCAATGTCATCATACACCTTTGGGCCAATAACAGTTTGCTGTCCTTGTGACTTATAAACGAGAATGCTATTAAAATCTTCAGACTTCAACTTTTGAACAAGTAAAAAAGTTGAAACGCTATCATCAGGGTGAAGCCGACATCCTTTTTTTACTGCTCTGCTGATATCAGAAATGTTTTTTTTTGTAAGAAGATGTGATTTAGTTAAAACAGTATCTTCATCATTTCTATTTTGTCTGTCTCCAAAACTTTCTCTAAGATCACAATAAACTGTATTTACAGGCACACCTTTTGATAATTTAGCGGAAATGTTTTTTTTAATATTACCTGGTATAGGTTGATACATGGTATTTGTAATACCAATACTGTGGTTATGAGTTTTGATATACTGAACATTAGTGACACCATTTATGTTTACTTTGACAATCATTCTGGCAGGGCAGAAAGCACCTGATTTAACACTCCCTCTGTAGTACCTTTTATTAGTTTTTCTTGCTGGTTCACTAACAGAGCGATGCGGTTTTGAATGACCATCATTTTGACAAATATAATAACTTGTTTTTACATCTTTATTTATATTTTTTCCAGTGAAAAAACTACCAGTTTGTTTACTGAAAAAAACATAACTATTAAGTTCCTCTTTTTCAGATTCTGATAAAAAAATGTAAGATTCTTTGGTAAATATACCTTCATGACACTCCTCTATGTGTTTAATAAGTTTGACGTTTTGAAAAAATACTTGGCTGCAGTTTTGATAATGACATGGCGTTCTTTTATCTTTGGATTGATTATCTCTAAAAATGGTTTTATGTGCCTGTAATGCATGTCTTTTCATGTTATCTTTTCTTGTAAACGACATCATACAAGCAGAACACATAAAACTAAAAACAACAACTTTTAGTTAGGACTTTATATACTTTAGTTACTTATTGATATAAATTAGGTATTTTACCTAGGTTTCTTTAACTGAATTTCTGTTAAACTAGTTGATGGATTGATTGATGACAATGCTGAAAAAAAACTGATGTAAATTGATTTCCTTTAAAATCTAACTTATCTAGTTTAAACCTTTAAAAAAAAAGATTCTTATAAATAAGAGAGGAGATTTACTCTTTTAATTAAAACTTGAAAAAAGTAAAACTTATTCTTACAACAAAAACTTTATAAAGGGGAGAATTACTCTCACCACAGAACACTGCCAAATAGGTTTACTTTATCAATAAAATTATTCTTTTTGATTATTTAATTAAAAAAAAAGGGGAGAATTACTTTCATTTGAAAAAAACAACTTAAGAGTGGAGATTTACTCTTAAAAAAAACTTGAAAAAAGTAAAACTTATTCTTACAACAAAAACTTTAAAAAGGGGAGAATTACTCTCATCACAGAACACCGCCAAATAGGTTCACTTTATCAATAAAATTATTCTTTTTGATAACTTAATTTTGAAAAGGGAAGAATTACTCTCATCTGAAAAAAAAAAACTTAAGAGAGGAGATTTACTCTTTTAAATAAAACTTGATCAAGTTTTGTCAATTTTGTCAATTGAACAAAAGTAAAACTTACTCTTACAACAAAAACTTTAAAATAGGGAGAATTACTCTCACCACAGACTACCGCCAAATATATTCACTTTATCAATAAAGTTATTCTTTTTGATTATTTAACTTTGAAAAGGGAAGAATTACTCTCATATGAAAAAAAAAACTTAAGAGAGGAGATTTACTCTTTTAAATAAAACTTGATCAAGTTTTGTCAATTTTGTCAATTGAACAAATTAAAACTTACTCTTACAACAAAAACTTAAAAAAGGGGAGAATTACTCTCACCACAGACCACCGCCAAATAGGTTCACTTTATCAATAAAGTTATTCTTTTTGATTATTTAATTTTGAAAAGGCAAGAATTACTCTCATATGAAAAAAAAAACTTAAGAGTGGAGATTTACTCTTTTAAATAAAACTTGAAAAAATCAAAACTTATTCTTACAACGAAAACTTTAAAAAGGGGAGAATTACTCTCACCACAGACCACCGCCAAATATGTTCACTTTATCAATAAAGTTATTCTTTTTGATTATTTAATTTTGAAAAGGGGAGAATTACTCTCATATGAAAAAAAAAACTTAAGAGAGAATATTTACTTTTAATGAGACTTACTCTCTCTAGAGAGAGTAAGTCTCATTAAAAGTATCATTCTCTCTTAAGTTTTTTTTCAAAGAGAGCTCTCCATCGATATAACATAATATTTACTTTTAATGAGACTCCATCGATATAACATAACATTTACTTTTAATGAGACTTACTCTCTCTAGAGAGAGTAAGTATCATTAAAAGTAAATATTCTCTCTTAAGTTTTTATTCAAAGAGAGCTCTCCATCGATATAACATAAGAACTCAAAAAACTAAAAACCCTACCTTTATTAGGATTTATTTCTGTAGCATTAACAGATGATAACTTGACACTAAGCTTGTTAAACATATCTTTGTTTAATTTTACAATAAGTTTATTTACTTTTATAACACCAAGAACTTCAGAACTTTATTATTCATGACGTAGCGACATGCGACAAATGTTATGCAGGTCAAAATACGGGCTAATGTTTCCGTCGGGAGTATTTCTCCCCTACGTAAAATTCATATATTTATGAAATGTTTGCATCTGAAAAGTAATGTTTCTATTTGATAAAAAATATTGCTTTTAATATGTTCAATTGTTAACTTCATCGCATGATATACCATATCTACATCAGTAAATCATTTGAGATGAAATATATTGAATCATATTTGAAGGACTTTATTTACTTTATAATAAACTACTGTTGGATGCAATGTTGCTAGAATTTTGTTCCAATGAAAAATTTGTACTTCATCTTGTACAACAAACTCATAATTTTCTTAGAAATCACAAAGGACAATGACCCTCAGTACTATATTACTCTTTTTTTAACTTAACATTTTGATGGTAGGTACACATAAAGTATGTGTGTTATCACACAGATACTGTATCCATACCAGATGCTCCTACAGGGTTGCCACCAAATCAGGGAAATTCAGGGAAATTTAAATACAATCAGGGAAAATCAGGGAGAAATGATTGATTTAGGAAAAAATCAGGGAAAATCAGGGAACTTTTTAATTTTTCTTTAATGTTTTGAAATAATTTCTAATAAAAATTTTCCTTTCCCAGGGTACCAGGGTTAATGTTAAATATTTTTAAAGAAAATTAATCACATTGTGTATTCATTTGCTCTTTTTTTAGAATAGTACAAATTTTTAAAATTTAAAATGACAACATATTTCAAAGAAGAATGGTTAAGTGATCCTTTGTTTGAAAAATGGCTGGTAATAGGCAGCGATAAAAAGTCAGCCAAGTGCAAAATATGCCAAGTTGAGTTTAATTTGTCAAATATGGGGAGAAGAGCTGTGATAAGTCACATGGATGGCAAAAAACATGCACAGAAGGCAAAGCCAGTATCTTGCTTCTTCATGCCTGCACCGTCTACATCTAAAAAGCAAGCAATTCTTACAGTAGATCAATATGATAAATGTTGTGCAGAAATCTATTCTGTTTTAAATGCAGTACAGAATAATTTCTCATTGAACTCATGTAATGAAAATGGCCTACTTTATCAGAAAATGTTCCCTGACAGCAATACTGCTAAATCTTATGAAATGGGTAGAACAAAACTTGGTTATATAATTAATTTTGGTCTTGGACCTTATTTTCACAGACTTTTAACTGAAAATATAAAAAAATCTCCTTATTATACTGTTTCATTTGATGAAAGCCTTAACGATTCTTTCCAAAATTGTCAAATGGATCTAAATATTCGGTTTTGGAACAGCGATCTAAATCATGTTGAATCCAGATACTTTGACTCTAAATTTTTAGGTCACCCCACAGCAAAAAATTTGCTTGAAAGTATTACTACATCTTTGTCAATGATTAATAGCATAAATCTGACTCAACTAAGTATGGATGGTCCAAATGTGAATTGGTCCCTTCTTAATCTTCTTGAAAAGCAGCGTGATCAACAAGAGCTTCCTAAACTTATTAACGTTGGTAGTTGTAATCTTCATGTAATACATGGGGCTTTCAAATCGGGTTTTCAATCTGTTGAATGGAATATAGGGAAGTTAATGAAAGCATCACACAACCTTTTTCATGATTCTCCGGCTAGAAGAGCTGATTTTCTAACTGTTACTGAATGTGAGAGTTTTCCTTATGCATTTTGCTCAACACGCTGGGTTGAAGACCAAAAAGTTGCAGATAGACTTTGTTTAATTTGGGAGAATGTTAAAAAAATAACCAAGTATTGGGAGACTCTTCCTAAAAGTAAGCAACCAAAATCCAAGAGCTATGACACTGTGTTAGGAGGAACAAAAGATGAGTTAACTTTAACTAAATTGAAGTTTTTTAGTTACATTGCAAGTTTGTTACAGAAAATCTTATTGAGATATCAAACCGATTCCCCAATGATTTCCTTTCTTTTTGAAGATTTGTTCTTAACTGTTAAAAACTTAATGGGTTTAATTATAAAACAAGATGTCCTTAGCAGCATAGTGAATGGCAGGCAACTTCAAAAATTTGATTTTACTGAAAAAGAAAACTTTCTGCCATTAAAATTAACGACAATTGGGTTTGCTGCTGAATGTGACATTATGGAATTGAGGAAAAAGGATGCGCTATCTCATGATGTCATCAACAGATTCATGAAAGATTGTCGTCTCATTATCATTAGAATCCTGGAAAAAATATTTGAAAGAAGTTTGAATCGATTTTCTTTTCTGGAAGCAACTGGTTGCATCAGTCCAGTGTCAATTCTTTCTAAAAAAAAAGCTGATCTTCTTCATCAGATGAAATCTGTACTACATCTTATTCTTTCTTGTTCACATATTAATTCAAATGAATGTGATCAAGCTTTCATACAATTTTCAAAGTTGTTAGAGGAAAGTTCATCTACTCTTTTACCCGCATTTAAAAATTTTCACTCTGGAAATCGTTTAAACAAATTTTATTTTGAAACCATTAAAGTTGGTGTAGATTACAAGACTTTGTCAAAAGTTTTGATATATATTTTTACGTTATGTCATGGGCAAGCATCAATTGAGAGAGGTTTCAGTATTAACAGTAATATGCTCAGTGAAAATATGAAAGAAAAGTCACTTATATCTCGTCGCACTATCAAGGATTTTATGGTGTCAAACAAATTAAAGGCTCATGAAATAGAAATAAACAATGAAATGATTAAGGCTGTTCGTAGTGCCTCGTTACAATATAAAAATTATTTGGAGGAAAATAGAAAACTCCAAGCAAAAGAAAAAGAAAATAGCGTGATAATACTTTTAGATCAGGAAATATTTGAACTTAAGGAAAAGCAAAAAGTACAATGAGGAATTTATTACATTCACCAAGGAAGCTGGCAAACAGCAGGATATGTCTCAAATGAAACTTCTACTTACAAAAGGCAATGATCGTAAGCGAAAAAGTGAGGAACACGAAAAAGAAATTAAGATGCTTGAGGAGGCTTTAGTTATTATATAAGAAAAAAAAAGAAGTCAATTACATATAATTTCTTTTTTCTAACATAAAATTGTTTAACCTTTGTTTCAAACATTTCAGTATTTAACAGTATTACTTATTTAGTTTAATTATTTTGTTTTTGTTAGTCTTTTTTAAATAGTTATTATAACTTGTTTGTATTTACTCTTGAATTTTTAATACATTGCTTGTTATTAAAAACATTTTCAATCTTAATTGTTACTTTTTTTTTGAATCTCATTATCTTGTACCCTAAATAAGTCTGATGGATTTTTAATGCTTGTTGAACCCGTTTTATATTATATATATATATATATATATATATATATATATATATATATATATATATATATATATATATATATATATATAATATATATATATATATATATATATATATATATATATATATATATCCCTTCAGAGTTCAAGTTAACGGAATTCTACTATAAATAATTTCATGTGTTGATTGAAGTATTTAATTAGCTATTTGAATTTTTAAACAAATTGATTGGTTTATTACTCATTGGGGGATTATAGCATCTGTTTTTTTGAAGGTAAAAATCTGGGGTTAATGGAAAAGTTTTAAGGTTAAGTGTGGGTGTTTGAATACTGGAAATATCAGGGGCAAATAAGCAAAATATAAGAAAAAAAATCAAGAACAATCAAAGATAAAAAAGCAAAATTTTTGCAAATAATCAGGGAGAAAAAAGCAAAATTTTAGCAAAAAAATCAGGGAAAATCAGGGAATTTTGTTCTTAAATAACAGTGGCAACCCTGTATTACTTGCTTGCAAATTATGTAATTAAAAAAGTTATATTAAAAACATTTCTTGTTATACCATCGAAGTATAAAACAGATGGAAGTTCAACCGCATTGAAATTTTTCGGGACTTTGCTTGTAACCTTTTGTTTCGTAAACAATAAGAAAACGACATCAAGACTGTACTTAAACGCTTTATTTTTAAACGTTGACGAAAATAGATACGTTTATAATAATTTAAAAATATAGTATTTTGAAGGTTCGCCAATAATATTCAAGAAAAACATTAAAAATGGCGCAACGTAACGGCAAACAACAAATTTTTTATAAACTTTATATTAAATGAATGGAGTACTACAAGAATGAATGGAGTTATCATATACAGCTAATAAAACTTTAAACTTTAGTTAAAAAACAATTTTTTTGATTTTTTAAAAATTGTTTTAGTTGTCTTTTTTATCAAACGTCGTGTTATGACTTGAAGCAAGAAAAGAAAGCTTAAACTAACACATGCTTTTAAAATCAAGTGGTTCTCTTTAATTACCGAGTTTTAATAAACTTTTTGTTGAATAATTGCAAATACTAATGGTTAAAAATTTGCAACGTATCCCTAGAATAACTCATTTTTTAATGTTTTAAAAAGATCATTTCAGTGAATTTTGTTGTTTTTTTAACCAGTGAAACTTGTTTTTTTTTTAATTGTCGGTTACAAGCATACTCCCGAGACGACTTGAAATTGCTTTGATGTTTGCGGCTCGATGAACTTCCATCTGTTTTATACTTCCATGGTTATACACAGTGCAACAATAAAATCAAAATTTGTTATAAATTCAGAAGAAGAAGCAGTAGCAGAGGCTGCACCATTAATGACATTCTTTAAGACAGAAAACCACAGGTATAAAAAACCTTCGTAAAGTATCCATGCCACAATTTCACATTTCATAAAACCCAAAGAAAAATCAGTAATAGTTTTTATGAAAATACTAAGTAAACAAGTTTTTTCTTTAATGTGGTTCATCATAGTTCCTATTACGATTATCATGAATCTCCTAAAGGATAAACTAAAAGGCTAATTAAAATTATACTTAAAAAGTCAAAAACCTTCTTCTTGATTCTAACTTAAGAAAACTAAAGAACAAATACTAGTTTTTATCGATGCAACTATAAACAGCTTCTACTTGTAACTCTCTGTCTTCCTTTCTTGTTGACATACAAGAGTCATCCAAAGGATATCGTGA